ATATAGTTTTTCTTGTTATCATTATTTGTGAATAATTTGTTTATCGGTATCCATTTCTTGACTGGGTTGTTTTGAACTTCGTTAAAGTAGTTATGCAGATAACAGTTTCAAATATCCAAAACATATATAATTATTTGGGTAAAGGTCTAGATGATGGCTACCTCCCCCGATCCCTACCCCCTTTGGGGGTGGGGGGTCATCATCTAACCCCCATAACTTTTTATGGGGGTGAGACCGCTACGAACTTTTTATGGTACAGTGGTGGAGGAGACCTCCTCTTTCGATCCCACCCACCCCCACCCCAAAAGGTCTAGATCTTTACCATTACTTGTTATAGAAAGTACAGTCACAATGGACAATACAGAAGCTAGTACTTCTGCAGTTTCTGAAACGTTAGCACCCCCTGTAGAAGCAGAAAGCAGTACTAAATTAGGTAAAGAACAATTCCTTTTTTCATACAAATATACCTGTCTTTAGTATTTATTATTTTAATCAATTGATGTTTTGCTATTTACTCGTATATTGTGCTAATTGTACTTATTACTGCATTTATACTTTGTTATTAAATTTGTTAATATTTTTCTTTTTCAATTTCCAATTAAAACAATTAAAATTTGGTGTAATTTTGAAATGCGCGCCTTAAGTTATGCTTCATAGTTTTATGTATAGATGACAGTGAATATTCGAAGTTTTCCTTGTCTTTATCATTTATATATATATTTTAAGTATCGTCTACTAATGTAGGGTAAACTTAGATGCCGCTGCGTATCGTCAAAATTTCGCTAGTTTTACGTCTATTTCTAGTCTAGGGTACTCTTGTTCCTTGTTAGTTCCCGATTAATACCTAACAACCTAACTGATTAGATAGCGCCACTTTCAACAACCAATACTTCTATGGTTGTATACAGTACTTATCATAGATAATAGATATACAAAGGGTAAGGATTGGTACTTATGAAATAGAAAATGTTTACTTAATCTAATTTTATAATCTAGCTTATCCTATGAATATCAATTTGAACAGAAACGCTATTATTTTGCCAAACAAACTTGAGTTGCTACTGACGACTGTTTTAGGTATTTTCTTTATTGCTTTTTTCCATGTTTGCACTTCTCTTTCAGTAAACACATTGCTTTGAGGATGATATGGTGGAGAATGAAGAATTGTAATATATGAAGTACAAAACTTATATGATTGCGAGTCAAAGAGTGGACCATTATTACTCATATTTTCAAGTATGCCAAAATAAGAAATTAAGTTTCGTACTTCGGTGGTTGCATTGATGGCTATACATGACAGCATTGGACGTACTGAAAACCACATAGAGAATGAGTCACACATAATGAAGAAGTTCTGCCTATTTAATTGGTAAAAATCTATGTGAATTCTCTAAAATGGTACTGACGTGGCGACGTGTTTGTATGATGTTGGAAATTAATTTTGGAACAAGCCTTGCATTGCTTACAGAATGTTTCAATGTTAAAATTCATTTGAAGCCATCATACAGTTGAGCGTGCTAATAGTTTTGTATGTACTATACCTGGATGTCTTTCATATAACAATCTCATTATTTCTGCTTGTAGAGACAAGGGAACCACAACTCTGTTATTACACATTAGACATTTGCCTTCTATAAATAACTGGTCTTTCACTTTATAAAAATTATATTTCTGGGTCCTCGGTGGGTTTTGGTTTCTGGTTTTTTCTAACATTTGCTAGGATGGGATCTTCATCTGTATTTTTGCTTGATGTCACATATACTGAGTGGTAGTGAATTCATTTCTACAGAGAAATTTGTAGGCAATCGCGATAGAGCATTTGGTGGAGATAATAAGGCACTTATGTAATGTAATCATGGGCTTCCAGGACTGCCATCCAATATTGTAGATGGTGGTTTGACAAAACTGTTATTGTTTTATCCGAATATAAAATGTTTTATGGGAGCATGATCTGTGATGATAATTAATTTATGTCCCCATAAAAATTTCCTAAATTTTGTAATCGCGAATATCATCGTAAGACCTTCTCTACTTAAATGCAAGTAGTTTTGTTGGGTTTTTCTAAGAGAATATGATTGGTTTCTCCACTATTTTATCTTTGAGCTTGACTTCGTGAGCAAGGACTGCTCCTAAACCTACTGGACTAGCGTCACAGCTAATTATTATTGGTAATTTTGGGTCATAATGTTCCTTTGGTTTTGTGGTAATTTAGCGTTTTCAATTGCCTCGATTTTTGAAACGGATGGCTGACGGCCTTTTTCGGATATAGTAAACCCTAAGTAATCTACTTTTTTGACGAACCATGTACATTTACTTTCGCGAATTTGGACTCCAAACTTATTGTCGAGTACTTTTACAACTGTTTTGTAACAGTCTTGCTTATCGCTTCCCTTGATGAGAGTATGTCGTCGATATAGCAAGAAACCTGTGCGATGCCGTTCAATATGTAGTCCATGATTTTTTGGAAGATTGCAGACGCACTTGCTAGACCATATATAACTCGCCTGAACCTGTATAATCCTCTATGTATGTTGATTGTGACTAGTTCTAGTAACTTTTCATCAAGTTCCAATTGGGTATAAGCATCTGACAAGTTGAAGACTGTGAAGATTTTTCCATTGTTTACGTTTGCAAAGATAATATCTTCGGGTTTAGGGAATGAGTAAAAGTCGACCCTAATTTGTCTGTTGAGTGTTCTTTTTAAAAACGGTACATCTCATGCCCTCATTATTCTTCTTTTTAACTAAGTGGTAAGGTGATGCATGTTTAGAGTGGAACTGTAGATTTTATTTTGATCTTCCAAGTTGTTTAATATTGTATCAATTATATTCAGTTGATTTATTGATGTGGTTAACTGTAAAATGTGATCTCTACGATGCAAATAAAATATCTTATCAGTCTCTACTTAGAAATGGATGGAAGGAACTGTCTGCGTGACAAACAATTATTTCTGCATTGAATTGGTTTTGATTGATTGATCGTTGATTCCAATTTCCGCTTGTCCAATCACTTTAATTTGTCCTACTATTGATTTTAAGGATACTAAACTATTAGATATAGGGTATTCCGGGAATAGTGTATTGAAGTCTGTATCTGTTATAAGGCTTTTACCTGCTTTTCAATATCTGTTTGCATTAAAACACATTTATTGTTCAAATTAATGTCAGCTACTGCTGGTTCATTTGTTTCCGTGTGGTTGGCATTGGGTGCCTTTATGTGGACTTGACTTTTTATTTCGTCCTCAATGATGTTGACATGGAATATCTCCGGTAATAAAAGAGAATCAACCAATTCGTCCTCAAATGATTGAGAGGATGATGATATGTTGGCTTGATTTCTGAGACGTTGATGCTACATCATAAACTGTACTGACTTTATTTTTATTTCTGCATACCTTTGAAGTGTACCCCACTTTATTACACAGCACTGTCAATTTTTTGCTGGGCAGAAATTTGTGTGATGCAGACAGCCACATTGATAACAACCATTAGGTTGTTGCTTATTTATATTGACATTTTGTTTAGGTTGTTGAGCAATTGAATTACTGGTAGTTTTGTGTTGACTGTTCAGTGCTTGATTTGTTTGTCGTCTACTGCTATATTGACTGTGGTTGGATTGTCGATTAAGACTTTGGTGCTACATGAAGGGACAGTTTCCTGAAGGGATTTGACCTCTTCTATTTTGTAAAGCTGTTCCTCTGGATGTTGTTGACTGGAAGAGCCCTGGCTAATTGACGAGGTTGTATTTGGTGGCCTCATTGTGCAAAATAATCTGTTTTGCCATTTCCAAGTTAAAATTTGGAGTGCTGAGAAGTTTTCTCCTTGTATCATTACATTTGATGCCAACAAGTTTGTCCCTTAATGTATCATTAAGGTGAGCCCCATACTCACATGAAAATACATGTTCCATCAATGCATCTATGAACTCTGTGGCAGACTCATTGTCTCTTTGGACCCTCTGATTCACATTATACCCCCACGTTGTTAATAAACTTGTAAGTTCATACCTGTCTTGTAGTTTTTATTAGATGCGACAATAACTTTTCACGTGATTTCAGTGGTAGACAGCTTTTGTGCAAGGTTTTATACGTTTTGTAACGTATATAGAACAAAAACAGCGCCTAGTTATATGACAGTACTACTACTACATGTAGTATTTTATCTTCGATTCCATTGATGAGATAAAACTCATTAAACAGTTCCAACTAACTGAAAAAAACATATCATAACGCTGAAAGTTCTTAAAGAACGAAACACCACGTTGCTGATAACAGGGTCTACATTGCTCCCATTTCCGGTGTCCACCATTTTGTATGACTAACTGTTGGACTTTTGTTCCGATGCGACACGTTTTTTTTTTGTTCTATCTACGAATACTTCTTTACTTAAATTTGAGTATTAAAAACGATAAAAATATATATACATGCATGATGCTAGTGTTTTTATAGTTTAAAATACACCGACACTCGATTTTCTTTTGTAAAAAAGCGATATAGTCTACTACTAGTTGATCCGCCATTTTATCTGCTGTATACTCTCGCGCTTGTTAATTGTTAAATTACAATAAAGTTTGTAGTGTTCGTGTAAGACCATTTATTATTATTTCCTACAAATGTGGAAATATATCCCTTACACGCGCTCAAATGGAACATATACCCTATGCATATATGTCGATGATGCATATACCATACATAAGTTTTGCAGATGTTTTGAGGTTATGACGGTTCCTCCTTTGCGATAATTTTGATTGCTATTTTAGCTGGATTTATAAATACTACAAAACCACATTCCTGTGTTTTTTAAGTCTTGCATCTTCCTATATTGGAGCTTATTCCTGCGCATTGTATATGAAGCCAGTTTTCCCATTGTAGTACTTTATCAATATTCCTGACATATACTCTTCATTCCTCTGAATCAATAATCAGTCGTGTCCTATTCACATGCTATTCACCTTCCGCCATCTTTTGTTTTCGACTATCAGTTATTTTTAATTCGAATGATCCTATCTCTAGTTTAGAATGGAATATTATTTGTTTCATTAGTACTTTAACGTTTAAGACATTAACGTTAGTAAATACAAAGACATATTCCCATTTAAAGTGTGCAATATCGAAAATGTGTTCACATCAGATCACGTTTATCGTTCACTTAGTCACATTATAAAAGTAAATGTCAAAATTAATTTCTTTTCCACAAATTTTGTATCACACGTGCTTTTACTTATTACGTAAAAATTAAAAATGCCTCCAGTAACACCATCAAATGACCCTCGAAGTAAGTTAACCCTGAAACCTTTAAATTCTCAGAATATCCTGTTTTATTATGCCCCTCTTCAGGGAGCACTAAGTTATACAGCTTTATCGGTGAACGTGATGAATCCTTCTTTGGTACTAAGGTATTTATACTGCTAATTTGAAATGTTATTTCTTTTTACTTCATTTATTAATATGTAGGCTATTCCCTAAAAGAGACATTACAAACATCTTATTGTTTAACTCGTTAGTTGGATCTGGATTGTATTTATACAATAGACCTCATTTGCAAGTAGCTACAAAACAAAAACGAATTTTATATAGGTAAGTAACAGTTGAATCCAAACTTCAACAATATACGTAAATGGATATTTATATTTTGTATTTTATTTTTTTTTTTTTTGTTATATAGTGCATTTGGTGCTGTAATGTTTTCTTTGGGATCTGTCTTAACATGGGCAATTGTTAGAAGTGTAATCCCTGAAAATCTAATCTTATGCACTGCAGCAGGAATTGGATCTAGTTTGGCCCTTTTAAAATTAGGACACTACTACATTGGCCATATTGATTCATTAGTTAAAGTTTAAGGTTAATTCTATTTTTGTGTGTAATTTAGTCATTGTACTTCTAATTTTTTAAGTTTTAACATATTTATGTACATACTAACTGTTGAATAAAAGTACTGTTTTCATTACATGTACATATAAGCAATTTATTTTTAGATTTTTTTTTTATGGTTGTGACTAAATATTGGCAAGAACTATTTTTAAAAATTGCTGAATAAATTCATAGAAGACAAGGTGGATCTCTCAAACGTGCATACAATGAAAATAACATTGTATAGAAATAAAAAACAGATAGTTATTTCATTTATTTTCATAGAAAACAAACATGGTTTATACTTGTGGTTTATATAAGTTTTCAACTTACAAGTTTGCTGTCTGAAAAAAAGTTGGTATTCAATCCAAGAAAATTATTTCTTATTTTATATTGTAAAAGGGCAGGGGCTGAACAAACCAATTACTTAGATGTTATAGTTATCTCATAAATGACCGATTCTTGTAATGTCACAATCAATAAAACGTCACAATTATGTATTAAAACAACTTCATATTGTGTGTGCTTTCTTTTTTTGAATATTGTAATTGCATTTTATTTCAAATACAAATGACGGACAGTCGTCTTCGCCCTAGGAATCGTTTTACAATGGATGACAACACCTTATTATTATATGATTTTATAGACGCTTTTTACGTTACAGCGTCATTGCAGGGAAAAATTGCCTATTTGTTAATGTCTGTCCATGTTGTTAATCCCGGAATATTTATAAGGTTTACCATTGTTTTTCTAATAACTATCTTTTCTGTTTCATAAGTCTTTCTTTAAAACGTTTGCATCAACAAAAATTGAATAACCAAAAAATATTACTTTATTATTTTCCATTTATTCTCTTTTTTAATTTTACAAAAAATATGGAAATAAGTTGATATCTAATGAGAAGATATAAGGAGTAGTATTGAAAATCAGTTTTTTTTTAAGTTGGAATTTAAGAAAAGTTAATATTTTCAGTGTTTTACAATATAATCCACACACACTGTTATTTAGAAATATGGTTTATGGAATGGCCGTTCATATATTTTCTAGACCTTCCATGTTTTCTTTAATATTCACAACACGTCTGTCTTTTAGGTAAGATTCAATTATACGCATATTTTAGAGAATACTGGATACATCGCTAGTAAACTATAATATTTTTTTTAACAGAAGCATTTTTTTAATTAGATTTTTTTTAAATTATCGTTCAAAATGTTAAAAAATATTAAATTTTAGTATTCTTGGGTCGATGATGTTCAGCTATTCTAGCTTACAAGTTTTCGAATGGTTAATTGGTAAAATGGGCGATAATCATATAAACTTGTTAACGCTATTAGGATTTTTGGCGGGAAGATTAATGATGGGTTCCCTGGTTGCTTATCTCTATCACGTAGATAGTCGTAATGTTTTTGCTTACCGATACGTTCGACGAGATAATGTACTTGAATCGATGTACACGACCTTTTAAATAAACAAATTTGAATAGGTATATGTCTCTGTTGCTTGGTATACATAAAATATATATGTTACCGGAAATATATGAAATCTAGGAATTGTATACAATTCCTAGGAAATGCATACATTTCCGAGGCTATTTAGGAAATTCCGATGTGGTATTAGGAAATGTATAGAACTAATGCTTTCTGTGAATAAAATGAGTAAAACACGTCAGTAAACTGAGAATCAGAGTTATCTGTATTTACGCAGTTTTCATGCATTGGTTACGTTATTGTTTGTTAGGTTAGGTTTGGAGATGCATATGCATTTGTGACGCTATTGTATGGTTATTAGATAGATTTATGAAAGACTGAAGTTTCTTTAATGCCCCCGTTGGAATAATGTCTTCGGAAAGCTTCATTATGACCTTTGCGCCCAATATATACATGAAAATGATCAGCATACTCGAAATTCAAAGTTATCGTGTTTGCTGAAATAAAGATAATCTTGTCACACTATTTTAACATGTAACGTATCAGCTCCCAGCAGGGGCATTAAGGAAACTCCAGTCTGTCATAAATCTCCCTAACCAAACAATGACGTCACCAATACATAATACGTACATCTCCAAACAACCTGCCTATTTAGTATTACCTGTAATAAATTTCCGATTGGTATTCAGGAAATGTATAGATTCCCTAGGAAATGTGTCTAATATAATTTATTTCACACATTTCCGGACGATTTTAGGAATTATATATTATACATTTTCTAGGAATTGTATACAATGACGGTTTTCATACATTTCCGGTAACATCTACACATCTAACTGTATTTTTTCAAGTTTCAATTGGGAAGGCCTTTCTTCTATTACTCATTTTTTTCTGTTAATCATGATTTTATAGTATTTAGGTACATAATATATGTAGGTGTCTGTTACCCGTCAGTATTATTATTTCGGCATATATTTCAATCCTAAATCAAATGATTTGTATTGCTCATCAAAACCGCACAGCAAAATCGGCACTTCGTTGTTGTAACTAGCAACAGCGATTTGAGTTTTTCTCGGATTAAACTGCACATTGTGTACTTCAACGTCTTTGTAAAGCCCAACACTATAATATGGCATATATTTTGCTACCGAATGCCCATTGTTTACATTCCAAACATGAATGAAACCATTTTCACTTGAGCAAAACACATACCTGCTACAATTACAAAAAGTGCAAAACGTTTGAACGGTGTTGTTTAAAGCTTGAGTAAACCTTTGTAAAATACAAAGACTTTTTAAATCTACAAGACGAAGGACGCTGTCTCTAGCATGAATTAGTAATTTGGTTTCTTTATCATTAAGTAAAATCTGATTTATTATTGTACCTCTTATTTCGGCTAATATTATTTCTCTATTCACGTTCCAATGATGTTCGTTACGTAAAGTCCATTCGACAACTTTTCCATTTGAGTCGCACGAATAAATGGATTCACTGTCAGCTGTAACACAAACAGAAGTGATAAATCCCTCGTGGTTCTCTATTTCTTGACAAAGTTTAAATTCATCATGCCCGCACTTTTTCCATATTCTTAAGATCTTATCGTAACCACCGGTTATGATGAATTTATCGGTTATCATTGCACAACAGTAGACGAAAGACATATGTGGAAGTATCTGAAAGAAAAGTATAGATAAGTACAATAATAAAAAAAAATGACTTTATGAACATCGAAACTGTTTAAAACGAAGATGAGATTTTTATTATAATATGTATCCCAAACCTGAATGATTTTTCTTATTTCGAAGTTCCAAACGCAAACGGTACAATCTGAAGAAGCAGATATAATAAATTCGTCGTTTTTTGACCAGTAAATATCATAAATGAGTCCTTCGTGACCGGAAAATTTAAACACTTGTTCAAAAGATTCTGTAGAAAATACAGCAATAAAATACGTAGTTTCTTGTGACATACCACAAGCTAAATAATGACCACTGTTACTGAATTTTATCGCCAGGCATCCTAACTGGTATGAGTAAAATTTTGTTAGCAATTTATTAGGAAAATTACAGTATCTTTTTGCTCCTTTATAGCCATTTATTAATAGTCGCTGATTATTATTCGTTATTATGTTACTATCCATAGGTAACATGTTTTTCGATTTAAATTTTTCAATCACCATTCTTGGTAATTTCATTTCCTTGATTGTAACGTACAATGTAGAAGGATATTTCTTACTTACTTTGGAACTCCACCATTCAAAAATGTGACATTTAGGTAAAGAAGTGGAAAAAATATTTCCGGGAAAATATAGTTGTAATCTCACCATTTTCCCAACATTTAAAGTTCCAAGTTTCCCTTTTGGTTTGAGAAATGCCCAGGCAATATTATACCAATCTTGTGAAAAGCCTTTGTAATTCTTGGGTAAAGAAATAAAACTAAGTAATTCAAAAAATATTATCACATTGTTATCATCCGAAAGGAAATATTGAAAATCTTCGTTTACTGTTATAGATTCTTCCCAAGTTGGAAAACGAAGTTGACTTATCTTCAAATCAATAGGTAACGATCTGGTCATTATTGGTTCAATATAAATAATATTATTTTTAGAAGAAACAACAGGTTTATTTATATCGGACATTCGTAAATATTCTCCTGTATTTTCATTAACAATATGAACTTTGACAGCAGGTCGAATGGCAAACGACTCAAGTTTTAATTTATCAACCTTATGAATAACGATTTCGATAATCGAAGCGGTTTTTGACAATTTGTCAGTGGATTGAAAGTTTTCCTTATGCGTTTCACTAACTTTCTCTTCCAAAGAAACATTTTCATTGTTATCGCACTTTTTTTTTTCGTTTCCACCATCACTTTTTTCTGATAAGCTTGTACTGCAATAACTATTCCTAGACGATTCAAGAGAAACGTTCGTGTTAGTAAAGTTTTTTTTGTCTGCTTCATAAAGATACAAATTTTTTGAAACTGTTACCCCGTGATTTCTTGGGAGTGACGACTTTTGATGCTTTGATTTTTTGAATTCATCATTATCAGTTAACATATGGTTTTCTACTGGTTTAATCTCCATATCGTATACTTTACTATACGAGTTGCCAATAGTAGTGCATAATTCGATACTTTTGTCGTCAAATGGTTTTTTATTAGTTGGAGATGAATCAGAATGTTTATGGAGCGATGAAGATTTTGATTTGCTTTTTGAGGAGGATCGAATTATTACCTCACTAGATATACTTCCGGATCTTCCATTGGTTACTTGTTCCTCATGATTATTCGATATAATATACGTTTGAACGCTACTTAAACTACTACCTTGTCTTTCACTAGTTGTAAAATATTCCAACGGTGCATTTGCAGTTGCTTGAAATTTTGGCGAATCCGTTGAACAAGGTTTTATCCATTTCTTACGAGGCTTTGGCGTGGGTATGATGGGAGAAGTTGTCTTATTCTCTGCAAAGAAGGTAATATTGTCATCATTTTCTCTGAGAAATTTGTTTAAAATGAAATTTTCTTCGCCCTCTTTCCTAAAGTGGATATCAGCTTCCACTTGAGTTGTACCATATTCTTTCTCAACATCATTATTGAAACTGCTTAAGGATTCATTTTCACTAACCGTAAGGAATGTTCGAGTCGATTTAGGGCTTAGATTTGATCTAGAATTCAAAGCAGTTTTCAGAAGCGTTTCAAATTTGCATTTAGTTTCGTTTCGTAGACTTCTCGGAATATCAGTCATTCTTAAAAATTACTTTAAACGACGTGTGTACAAATGACGTACAAGCATTTGTATTGTTGAAATACGTTCGTTGTCAATTTGTTTTGAATTTGTTCAATTTGTATTGAAAGCAAGTGTAGTTGCTACTGACAACGATACTGAATCGGCAAAGGAGCTGGGGGGTATAAATAAGCGTAAGGCAAGCTGTAGAAATACATGTAGGGGGATGGTCAATTTCAAGAAGAAATTAAACTTGAAAAATTAATGTTTCGAAGTTTTGCAAAAGAAAAAATTAAGGACGAAAAATGTGCAATTAAGATCAGTGTAGATTGTAGTTTAGGTGACTCTCACTTAATCTCTTTTGCAAGATACCTAGCGAGAGAGCTGTGCACGCAAATTGGCAAACGAGGTAGTTAATATTATTTTGAATAATATGTATACAAATGTCTGTTGTTAAAACTATTATATTTCTATTATTTGGGATAAAAGGTTGTCATAAATTACGTAACGTAAAATTCATTAACTTCGGTTTTGCAGGTAAGTAAGAATGTAAGTTGGAAATTGAAATCGCGATTCACGTTAGGTTCGATTAAAACCTACCATCTGTTCTAACATAATGTTCATAATGTTATTAACTTATTTATAACAATAACAGAAGAACACCGAACAGTACTAATGCCTTGCTGTCTGCAAATCAATACTGAATTATATGATCTTTTTTTCAAATTAGGCGTATTGAAATGATTTTTTGTATTTTTGCATTTTTCCAAATTAATTATTAAAGTTCCTAGGTCTGAATACATATTAGGTACCTTGGGATAAATACATATGTGGTAAATCCCTTTAATTCTGGATCTTTCTAGCACAAGGCCAGTCCCTATCAGTAGTTGCTGCGAGGTCGGAACTTTCCTCGAGAATCCGCCACTATCCAGCCTTATAACCCCGTTGTACAGACGGCTGGGTGTCTTTTGAAGATTCTATCAAATCTACTAACAACCCTGTTTTCTTTTTTAAATGGACGTGTAACGTACAGAGTCGTCTGTACATTTTTTATTGAACGGTTTTCTCGCAAGGCGTATACCTACTACTCTCTGTCTATCCCATTAGTCTAGTCTAGTAACTAAATGAATAAGCCCATAGCTGTACATGCATTACCTATAGCATGAAAAACATTTTCCGATTCTTTAAACTTAGGGCAGCTCCGACAGAACACAGACCAACTGCCTGCGACGCGCTGATGAGATCCAAAAAGATCGAAATCGCGATCCGCGTCTGGCAGTTTCGACAGAATACAGACCACTTCGAATTATTTTATTCGATTAAGCTAACGTGCCTATCAGGTTGAAGTTGGTTACGCCGGGATTCGTTTTCAGCAAGTCTCTTTGGATCTCATCAGCGCGTCGCAGACAGCTCCGGGAGCTCCGGAACAGCAGGTAAAAGTTGGTCTGTGTTCTGTCGGAGCTGTCTCCGACGCGCTGATGAGATCCAGAGAGATCGAAATCGCGATCCGCGTCTGGCAGTTTCGACAGAATACAGACCACCTCGAATTATTTAATAACCATTATTATTGCGAATCCTAAGAGTTCTGCAAAACTCCTTATAACGAAACTAGACTGTGAGCTTTCATTCAAGAGGACTTTTGCGACTCGCGTTTTCTTGTTTTTGACGTGTATTTGCACGAGTGCCGTTGATAAAGCAATCTCAGTGTTTTGAGTTAAATGTCGCGATGACAATGATACTACCACTCTAGTAGGGGCATTAGTTTTCTTCATTCTTAACGAACATTTCATTCTGTGACCCATAAAACAATAATGTAGACATTTCTTGCAACAACTCCATTAACAATTTTCATTATAGTGCCCGCAACTCAAACAATTTAAACAGGTTTGTAAGTGTTTAATGTCTTAAATTCTTTGTTGTACATTTAACTTTAGTAAATCGCTACAATTTGTGATAAAGTGATATTTTTGGCAAAATAGACAATTAGCGTTACTGTTAATACCAACATAATAGCAACCAATGATCGTGCCTAGTTATTTTTAAATATTCGCGGTTTATCGACTTTACTGGGTTCGATTGTTTCCAGTAAATCCGCACGCCTTTTTAAAAATGTCTAAATTTTCTAAGGTAGGTATACTTCGTTTAGTTTATGTAGCGATGTGACCTTCAGTTTGACTGGCGCAAAGTAGAAAAGAACAGCACTAGCCCAGAAAAGAAAGGAGACAACTCTCGGCCAAACTCTTAACCGGTGAGCAGCGTATAATCCGTACAGTACTGCACGGAAAAATTGACCAATTTATCCACTGCAATTGCATTGCTCAAATGCGCTGTTATTGGTACCATTTACTACTGAAAATATCAACAAGATGTTTATTTATTTTTGAAGACAGCTTTAGCGCTTGCTATTTGTAAGAACGTAAATTTGTAAGACGCGAATAAACAAATTGAATAGACAAACAAATAAAAATAAATAAATAAAAACAATAATGATAATAGGTAACATTATGTGATATGTATATTAATATTTGTAATAATATCTTTCTTATATAAATGTTTTGGTATTACTTGAAATAATAAAATAATCAATCAATAGGTTTGTATCAGGATCGTCAGGTACTGAGTGTCCATCGCTGGGTCTAGCCTATAAATAAAGAAAACACAAATGTGAGCGCTCGTGTCCCTCTCAAAGGAACGTATATATATATATGAGTTGATAATTCGTATTCTATTGGCATCGTTGCCATTTTATTACTGAATACAATAGTTGCTGAGGAATGATACTGAGACGTATAATGGTCATACAGGGTACACTCGCATTATGTCCGCTCCAAAATCACCCTTGGACGCAAAGGGCTGTAACTCCCAATGCGCCGGTATTACTTATTCACCTTACAACTAGTAGGTATTAAGTTGTGCAATGAGCACAAATAGCTGAACTCGCGGTGTGCTCTCTTCAGATACTAGTGTTTGATCATTTACTTGGCATGATCGGTACTGAGAGGTGCAATGGTCACAAAGGGCAGTGTGACCTCTCCACTACCTTTACGATAAAACTATCAAAAAGGGCGAACTCCCATTGTGATTTCTCCAAGTGAGTGTATAAAAGCCACGCCCATACGAATCATCAACATCTAGTAATTATTTATCAATAATATTATTCATGCAGAATGTTCAATTTGAAAGTAATTCAAAAGTTCGACAAATATGAAAGGCAGAACGCTCAGTGAATAAACTCACCCTTTTCTGAAATCAACACGGCACACATTCACTGTCTTTAATGCACTGGCCTGATTAAGCTTAAGAAACAGGGAACGGAATAGTTACAACTATGCAGTGTATGTATTGTAAACAAATGCAAGGCGACTACAAAATTCAGGGTGGTCGGCGACTGATAAATTATTTATCAGCCTGAGGGGTGTCGCTCTGTCTTGTATTCGAACGACAACCGATAAAAGATGTTGTCCATTCCAGTTCTCGAAATGTTGTATTTAATTATTAGATAGGTATTGTAATGTTCGTGGGTTTAACTAATTAACTTTTAAGAAGAGAACTATTTATTTACACTAATTATTATTGAACTTAAAAACACTATTAAATTATTACTAAACTTAGGTAATTAATCTATTTATCTACAGTACTGTTACTATTCACTGTTCTATTTATTTCATTTCTATCACTGTCAATTTAATTCTTGATTCACTTCCGCAACGGTCAATTTATTTCTACTCTCCTCGGCGATCGTCTCTTCCTTTAAATACTCTCTTGCTTCTTTTCGGGAACTTTCTCGAGCCGTCCAGAGAAGTTTCGTTTTCTTTGAACGGTTTAATTGCTTTCCCGGAACGCAGGTATGACACACACGTTTACAGATACGGCGCACATTAAGAAAAGCGCCCGCGGCTAGTCGGCGAATCGATAAGCAGCTCACACACACGTATGCCCGATCGCACACAATCACGCTCGTGGTTGCTACAGTATATTATGCTACATGTGAAAACGACTTCCACTCGAAACCGGGGGCATGTATGTTTTGATCGGAAAATCTAAAACTGATACTCTAAAACTAGCTCGTTTTGTGTGTACAGTAATGATATTACATACATAATGTGTCTAGAGCAATTACTTACATAGATTGACACTGACGAAGGGCCTGTAGGCTTAATTTCTAATTAGTTTATAAGTACTTTAACACATTATAAACAATAGTTTTTTTACTTTCAGGCCAGTCTAAGTTTTATTCAAAAAGTCTGTAAAACGTTTTATTAGTTACAAATTTTGTAATATTGTGTTTGTCAAGTGACAATAATAAATTTGTTTGTTTTACACCAATCTACGAATCTATCTTTTAACTGTACACATATACAGTAGTTTACTCGTTTATGCTAATAAACGTTTCTAATATAAGTTGAGCTGTGGGATCGTTATCTCTCTCCGTCATTGTGGAACAATTAAATTACTGATTAATTAAATCGAAAAAATTTGTGTATTTAGCGTAAGATATTTAGTATTGATTTTACCGAAGAATTTAGTGTATTGAGCATAAGGTAGTTAGTGATTAATTAAACTGAACAATTTAGTTTATTGTACGTAAGTGCATAACATAGATCTTGATGAGCTTCTCGACAAGGAATCCATGATTAATAATCCACCTAATTTAGAAGATTATAATTCGGTATTAGACGAATTAAACGAACATATAAAACAACAATTAGACAAAGACACCAGACAAAGAGAGGAAACACAAAATAACTCATCCCGAACGATACATTCACGCCCGTTTGCACCGACGTACTAAGGCAGACTTAACAAAGTACTGCTTAAGCTACACTGTTGCCAACCTACTACAGGAAAAAATCCCACGCACAGGTCCAAAAAATCCCATATTTTCTCTAAAAATCCCTCCACGCGCAGGTCCAAAAAGTCCCATATTTTCTCTAAAAATCCCTCCAACTTATTACTATTATTATTTTTTAATTCGTTAATTTAATCGTTTATTCGAAGAAAAAATATACAATATTTTTGTAAACATGGACAACTTTTCGTGTCGATAGTATAATACCGATAATTTTATTGTATGTAGTTATCTCGTTTCCCAAAAATGCAGACAAAACCAGGCCTTGGGGGTTTAGATGTTTAGATGTTCGGATTTTGGAACAATACACCAATTCAAACATTTATTTTTATTAGTTTTAACATCTGTTTCTGATCTG